ATATGCTTGGTGCGACCTATGGTGGAATGACATCATATAGAGTCTGGGAGTTCAGTAAGTGGTAGGTCTGTTGCAAGCACGCTTCGAAGTTGCCTCTCCAAGTTTGTGGCGACTCCCCCTTCCTTTCTTTTCTTCCCTGTCTCGCCTGATCAAAACCATATTACTCATAATGACTTCGTTGCCGACAATGGTGGGTGTTAGCCAGGTTTCAATCACGAATGTTATTTTGAGATGTAGGTGTGACTGGAGGTTTCTGAGTTCATCTATTTTGCTCTCAGCCCTCTCACATTGCTATACAAGCAGCTGGCAGTGAGTCTCACCACCTCAGCATGTTGTGGGGTAGTTAACGCTACGTTAGAAGCTCGTAGAGGATCAAAACAGTCTTGGGACCCGTTGACCGATTCAGTGAGGTATAGAGACGTATTGTGACCTCAGTTTTCTGGCCACTTATGGTTCCAGGTCTGCTTTCACAGCAACGGATATCTCCTCCCATTTTAACTTTGGCCTCGCACCAACGTTCAAGTACCGGAGCCAACTCTTCCTGGTTGCTACTTCCAACCTCCATATTAAGAATTACTACAATTTATGCCATGTGTGTGAAATGGAGATAACAACAGTATCTGACCAACAGAACAAATGCATTAAGACTGATAAAGTACAATATAAGGAAAGCAAAATAGTTTTTTGAATTAACCCAGTATTTTTGATTACTCGACTTCACAGCAATCACGGGACAAACTAACAGGTCTTGTTTATAAGAACAAGTGAGGAAGATGCTGCTACATATGTAGATCCTGAAGCCCTGGTAGTAGTTCGAGGCAGCTAGACTTACCACACAGACATTTAACGCGGAATAAATCGGTGAATTTGATTCACTGGCTAGGAAGATTAGATTTCCCCAGCAGATAATTCACAAAATAGGTATTTTCCGATTAGAAGGTGAGGATGAAAACTATCGCGTTTTAAATTAACTTCCCTTCAGGATTTCTCTGGATTTCTTTCATTGGATAGAACAGTGAAGTTAATTGGATTTTGATTTCTCGAAGAAAGGTGATGTCGTGTGCCGTTTAGTTATGCGTGCTTCATAAGCAATGGTGATGAATATAACTGTGATTTTTGGCTAGTCGAAACCTGTTCCACTGTTATTTATACAGATGCAGAGATCTTTCCGATGGACACTCTCTTGAAACTGGTCAGCCACTATGGCGGTCAACGGGGACTGCGATCCCGTAAATCCTAATTAATTTCTTGAGTTTTCCTTAAACACAATTTATTTTCTACTTCAATATTTCTCACTCACACAGTCTAGTATTCTGTGTTTCTTGTGAATTAACTGTGACAAGCTGTGGCAATAATGTGCTTCGTTAATGAAGTCTTTTTATAGAAGTTCATTGCAGGTAATCAGTGAGAGCGGAAACAGCACACATGTAAGAAGCTGCAAACGTATTAGAAGACTTTCAAAACGTAAGGACCTTGTAAATTGCTAACAGTAACGACTTTTTCACATACCAGTATGTGACTACGTTCAAATGCAGAGGAGAAAATGGTGAATGAGACGTTGTATAGTAGTGAGACAACTTTGTGAAACTTTCATCTAGCGTGTATGTTTCTCCCTAATATTTTTGTCCTAACAAAGTATTATCAAATATATTCTTCTAGTGTGATTCGATGGCACAATTTCTGGCAGTTAATAATATCATGTATGCGTAATATTCATGATATTTTCTGCACCATTAATGTGCTCCACATTTCAAAAGAATTGTAAACTAGAATGACTGAGTTTACTGCATGTTAATTGTGTAAATGCTTAATTTATGTAAGTGAAATTAATCTGTATCACTTCTAGGAATGAAGAGCCGTAATGAGGTCTGTCGGTTAGTCAAATTCAGCGGGAAGCAGATGCAGTAGGACTCGGACGAAGACATTAGAAAAACGCTGACGAGTGTTTTACGAGTTATGACCATATACATTTGCATAATCAGTTGTATGAATCGATTCTACATACAACAGCAAGAGAAGTGAAGTTCACTCATTCACTTATAACCATGCAGATATTCTTTGTTTCAGTTTGTGATGCCGGATAACTTTGGATGTGGGCATACAGTTATGTTTACTTGAACTTCGGAAGAATTTAAACGTGACGCAATTTGGAAACTGAGCAGTTCCCGTCGAATAATGGGAGATACTTCCCAAACGAAGACTTCCATCCCTGACTGTTCTCGGCCTATACATGTAAACAAACTTGTTTGCGTCGCAGTGAGACAATTTTTTCTATCTAATATTCTTGTGTCCTATTTGATCTGCATGCGGTGGGAGTACGGCATGCTAGACTGGTACTCCCCAGGATATGAACTCGTTACTGCACGTGAGTGTAATTCTGTACGAACACCATTGATCGATATAAGCGGTGAATTATAAGTGCTTTAGTCAAGCGTAAACATCTGCCCAAGGTTGCGCGATTACGTATCCTAGAAATAGGTAAATCTGTAGGGACTAATGACAAAATTACCTAAGCTCTGTATTTGAAAAATAAGAGTAGAACTTAGACACTGCGGTGGAAATTGATTTCGTATAAGATTTAGTGTATTCAGAAGTAGTGCATTCCTATTATTTCACTTAAAGCGTGATGTCAATCGATATGATTATACCGCAGAACGAAGTCTACATGTGGCAAATAATTGAGTAGATGGAGCGGTGGCAGTCGTAGCAATATTCTGCTTACATTGGATTGTGCCACCAACTACTTTCTCAGGTCTCATTGATAAGTCAAGCCTCCATATCGTCATGATGAAAAATTCAGTTTCACTCAGATAGAATAAGAAAAGTATGGTAAGCAGGATGTTAAATATATTTAGTGAAAAACAATAACAAGCAGATTTCTTTACACAATTGTTTCTCGTAATTGTTTCGGCGATGTCGAATTGCTGTGACCGGGTTGACTGACATTACCCGACATCTGCGAACAAGTGAATAAAGTGTATTTATAAACCACTGAAGTTAGGAAAAAGGTAATGTAAAAGTTAAATACTTTATATTTGCCTACCTTTTCTGAAAACGGTTTATTCTCCTTTCTTATTCCTTTGTCATGACAGAATTCTTCTGTGGTTTTCATTGTCACATACATTGTTCACCTTGTAAAGTATAGCACTAAGCAAATGATAATAATTATATACGTCATCTTAACGGGTGCTTGCAAGGAACGCATGCCACTTTACAGGTACAATCAGTTATGTTATAAACTGCAATCGTGAAGTACCATAAATTAATACTTTTTCCAAAAGTTTAAATCGTTCGATTATTGTACGAGCAATCTGAACAGGTGGTTGTAAATGTTGAATTGTAAACCCCTCACTAGGGTCACCAATAAAGTAGAGCGACAAACCAAACTTCGTTCCATTTCCTGCTGGTTGTTATGATCAAGCAGTGAATAGCGTATATTTGGGTGAGTGCTATGCCACCACGTGATTAATAGCTATTTCCTGAAGAGGGGAACGTCCAGGGAACCTGCGGAATGACATAAAATACAAATATGGACAATAAATCATTGAAGGTACATTTACAAGATATATACAAGAAGGAGGTGGAGATTCCTTGGAACGTTAGTATACACTTGCAATGTTTAATGCTAGCCATATTGGTATTATCATGGAAACCATGACGTTTCCGACGAAAATATAGCTTTGTTCTGGTGTTTCTCATCAAAGCAACCGGACTTCAAGCAAGCAACAAATATGAACAAAGAGTCGATTTTAGCTCCAATAAAGACCTAGGTAGTTGAGATAAAATAGAGCATAACTGTGCGTGAATGAGAAGATTATCGTGATATGGACAGCGACCAGCTCTGTCTCTGTGATGCACTATGTGTGCCATTTAGTCATTAACCCTTTGGAATAGATCTTAAACAAGCGCTGCCTATCTCTTTAAAACCCCAATAGAAAAGGATCAACAAATACTCACCTATATCTGTCTTCTGTCAAAACATGAACATGAATTCTGAGACGACTTTATTCACCTTCTATTGACTGATTGACGATCACGGAAACTGATCAATAATCAGCCAATGATGGAGAATTACATCAGAGTTTAATGGGACACTATATTGGTTGGAGAACCATTGGAAAACTTGGGAGTACTGGAAAACTGTCTCGTCCTATATTGGGACTCTTGATCAGTATACACTAACTGGGGTCGGAACCCAGGACCTTCTGGTTACAAGGGAGGCTCGCATGCCATTCGGCAGACTCTGAGACCCGATTCAATGGCCCATGAATTTTAACTTCGGCCAATTCATGATATAGCGCGTCCACTTTGCAATGTCTTCTGTCCAGCACTCCCAAGTTTTCCAATGGTTCTCTAACTGATGTCAGCTCATGATGAAATTTTTCGACGAAATTCCCAAAAGATCAGTACTTTGAACACTATATTAATAGTTAATCAATCCTAGCACTGAAGACCTCAAATTTAGTGTTTACATCGTGAAATGACAGCTTAAAAGCAACAAAAATGCCTTAACAAAAATATTCAGCTCTTCCAGGATTTTTCTTCTGAACGCAGTGGAGGAATCAAAGGTCAGTGAGAGTGGAAATCAAATACTAGCTTGTACAAACGATATTGGATATTGAATCCCAATTTAAGGCGTGCAGTTGGATTTCAATTATGACTGGTGACTCACGTGACTATCTGAGACAGTATGCTGACGCGGTAAATGTACAACTTTCTTTTATAATTTTGTCTCCGATTCTTTATGCGCATGCTTTGACTGTAGATATGGACTTTACTGACCTGGGTCTTGCATTAAACATGGCATGCGCCCTGCAGCAACACATCATATTCAGATGTCTAAGAAATTTGGGAGGCGTTATAGAGATGAGAAGGAGAGGTAATATGTTTCTCAAGACTTATCAATGATTTATTTTCAGGCACAAATACAGTAAGTGTTCAGGAAGCATATGTAACAGCTCAACAGAGTATGGACACCGAGGTGGATTCGCAACTAAGTGATGACGATCAAAACAGTGTTGTTGGCAGTGGTATGTATCACATTTTTGGGAGTGAACTTTACATTTGTATAAATGACCCTAAGATGGCAAGTCATTTGGAAAGCAAGTAAAACAGGGAGATAGTATTTGTTATTTCATTAGAATCAGAAAACCAGTCAACTAAGTGTAATGGGTTTGGGTTAGATTGACTTCCTCGTCTTCAAAGTAGTCATCTTTTGACTGGGTGACTGCACATATCAGTTTGATACTTCATCAACTTGAGGGATTATATTACAATTAGAAAAAGTTGTGATCCTCAAATCTTTTTAGCTGCTGTCATGTGATTCTCTCGGCGAAAGTAAAGAATAGACACAGGAATGTACGCAAGATTGACCCTGGAAATCTTGATCTCAGCCAGGCAGCGAAATCAGTTGAATAACAGTGTACTCATAAGAGTACTAAATCCAGTAAGAACATCTGATTTTGCTAGTTTGAAGTCAGATTAGGGTTAGGTTAAGGCTGCGGTAGTGGCAGGCGGGAGTATATTACGCAGTGGTTGAGTTAAGGATCCGAGTTGACAGTCCCAAGGTCACTGGTGTGTTTGTCCCCCCGACTGTGTTCTTTAACTTCATTTCAGAATAAAAATATTTTTATCAGAATGATTTATAGTGACCGATTGTCTAACCGTCATCGCCTTGAGGCTGGAGATCTCAACTGTACATGTGCTGCGAAAAGATTAGAATAGGTGAGACAGATGAAATTACATTCTTAATCCAAAGTGCTGTCTGCTTTCTGTGTCAACTTGATGTATAATGACGATTATTCAGGATTTCACTAAGGAATGACCACTGTGCAGTATGCAGCACATTGCTGAAAATGTACTAATAATGCTGATCAAGGAGAAATTTAGGAGTCATATCTTGGGAAAAGTCAAAAAAATGTTCACTTTACACAGCAATTAGTAAGGACTCATTGATATCTGTGGGAAGGAGGAAATCCGTGAACTAAGTGAACATGATAATGAGATGATGACGAAGGGGGTACATTGTAAAGCGATTTGACCGGTTTACAGCCACGCTAAACTTGCCCAGCTATGTGGGTTGTAGACATCAGTCTTCCAAATATTAAACACAAGTTACAGGTGTTCCTAATCTGCAACGCTTAAAAACAGAACTTAGTGATATAACTCCGGAGGTGTTTTAAGGTGATGATGAATTATGCACCGAGTTTACTAAGATATTAAGGAGTGTATAGGAATCCGAGACAGTTTCATCAGACTGGTTAGGGCTAGTCGTAAGGCCGATTGTGTTTCGCTGGTGTCTGTTCCATGTAAAAGTTCAGAAAATAATAATGACTAGGTCGGAAAATCCTCATGAAATTAGCCAACAGATATTTGAAGAAGAGGCATTTTCCATCGGCTCACCCTTCAACACGCTTAATTCTAATATTACAACTGATTGCCAATACCACTCATTTCATCCTTCATCAGGTTCTTTTGGGTAAGTTCCAAAACCCCAGTGTGTAAAATGCAGGTTTTTCTGATAGTTTTTACGTGCATTCTGTGATGTGAGCCACTTTTTACTGATGAACGATAATAGGCTTACTCCTCACGACACTATAGTGTTCTATTGACACCTATAGATATGTTTACTTACATCTAAAATGGAATATAATGTCATGGATTAAGATTGCATTCAAATGTATTTATTTGCATGAATTCTGCTTAAATAAGCGAAAGACGATGCTTCAATTTAGACGGTAGAATTTGAAGATTGTTTTCGTTTCGTGTATCACTGCGTTAATGTGTGGCACAGTGGTTAGGACTCTCGCCGATGAATATATATATATATATCTGTCTGTCTGGATTCAACATAGAACTTGGCACCGAAGTGCAGCAGTTCGAGTTGCCACGTTCGAAATAGCCCACAGAGGTAGACAAGAAGATGAGTGAAGAGAATTAATAGAGTTTGACAAGTATAAGAGTGAAACAGAATGGGTAATGGTAGAAAAGAATATGAAAGATTACAGAGATGAATACATCTGCGCCATTGACAACGATTTTGAGCCATGTCACCTATTGTCTCCAGCCATTGATTCCTAGAGTCCCGAGGGCCCCAACCCGGAAGTCTGCATCTCCCTACCTGACTCAGTTTAACTGTCAAGGATTTCATGGATTGATGCCATGTTTTTGGCATATATATATATTGGGAAATAAAAGTGAGAGTAGATGATATAGTTACGAATATTTGATCATTTGCCTGTTCTCATAACTTTGAATAGGCTGTGGAGCAGATCCATACATTGATTTCTAGTGTGAAATGCGGTGAAGCAGAGGAACCTGATGTAACTCCAGAGGTGTTTAAAGATGGTGATGAACTCGGCACCAAGTCAACAAAGGTATTAAGGAGTATGTGGGGATCCGAGACAGTCCCGTTAGACTGGCTAGAGTTGTCAGGATGCTGAGTACCAATAGCTGGAGACTGTCGGTGAACACAGCTCAAAATTGCTCTTAATGGCGCAGATGCATCCACCCTTTTTAATCTTCCAAATCCACTAAACCGTCATTTTTCCATGTTACTATTCTTTCTCTCGTACATTTCTGCTTTATATGGTTCTTTTGAATTTTTTTCTCGAGTTTGGTTTGTAAGGAATAGATTTGTTCATACAGGTTTGATCACGAGCTTGCTTTGTAACTGGAAGGTCCTGGGTCAAACCACAGTGGGTGCGTGCTGCCTATGATTCCCAAACTAGGATGAAACAGCTGTCCAGTACTCCCTCGTTTTTAATGGTTCTCTAGCTGATATCAATCTGTTTTTCTCTTTTTCCTGCCTTTGTGTGCTGCATGGAGTGTGGCAACTTGAACTGGTGCACTTCTGTACAAAGTTCTATGTTGAAACTAGGCTAGTTAGTCAGTTCTGTTAGACTGGTGTAAATTCTTGATTATCCCAGAGACAATCAAGGTTGGAGGAGAGTGGTGGAAATTGGCTTGACTAACAACATCTAGAACTCTAGGTCCAGAAATCTCTTGTAGACTGTGTTGCTCAGGAGAAACAAACTCCGAGGGACGAAGCAGGCTTTAGGTTCGGACGATGTTGTATTGGTCTTATCTTCGGCCTTCAATAAACATAGACATACTTGCTGGTGTCCGACACTTTCCATATCTCCACCTGAGGGCGACATTCTATTCTGTTGAATGAAAGATGCCGTGGCAATGTCTGATGGTGAAGAAAGTGCCGAGAAAGAACACTACACCAATGAGAGCATTCTACTGGAAATCACACAGCCGTGCAAGAGCATACGGAAAGTTGTCATCTGAGGACCAGTGATGTCCGTCAGGGATGCCCAGTGTCTCCATTTTTGTTTAATTTCATCGTATAAGCACTGATAAATGCAACCGTAATTGACTTTATCGACTTGTTGTAAGGAGCAGTCTCATTTCTATATAGTATGCAAATGATATTGTTCTTGTAGGTAAATCTGGTGACGATATGTGGAGTCTTCTGAACACGTTGAGCAAAAATCTTAGTATGTTTGACATGTGATTCGCTTCTGTGAAATGTAAGATAATTCTAGATGAGCGTTGTGCATCGGTAGGAAGTAAAGTGGTTGGGCGTGTTGACCACTACATTTATTCGAGAAGTTGCATCAGCATTAATGTAGTGATTGCTGACGAAAGCTCAGCACAGATACGAAAGGCTTGTGTGCATTTGCTAGCTTAAGTTATCCTTGGTGTTGGCGTGATGTTTGGCTATCGAAAAAAGATATGTAGTGCTCAGCAGTTCGCTTTTCCTCTCTCTCTCTCTCTCTCTAAGACTGAGGCGAGGCCGTAAAAGGAGGAGAATAAGAAAAGATCGGCTGTGCATGGCCATAATTGTTCGCGTCCTGTCTCCCGTGTTAAATGGCATAATATGGTGATTTATATAGAGGTTGGGTGTAGAAAGTTAGGTGAGAGAGGCAAGTCAACTGCTAAAGTTCTGGAGCTGGATCAATTGAGATGGTTAGGACATGTGTTATGTATTTGGGGCCATCACCTTCCTTGTCAAGCAGTCTTAACCGACCTGAGGTTAAGTTGGAAGAGAGTTAGTTGTGGTGCAGTCAAAACTTGACATCAATGCTTGGTGCCTTTGACCGGTGGTTTGAGTCACGTAATGAGATGTGGACTGTCTGGCTGTATTTCTCGAGATGTAAGACTGTTGATGATATGACTGAGAGTCGTTGTTAATTGCATAGTTGCATTCGCTGTTTATAATGTCTCAGAGCCATTAAGTCTTCGTTATTTCCAATATAATTATTCATTATTTTGCAAATTTCCTTTTCCAATAGGTCCTTTCTCTTTTTCAATTTTTGCGCCTCATGGAGCGTGGCAACCTAAACTGCCTCACTTTTGTCGTAAAGTTTCATATCGAAAACTCAAACAGTCAGTAAGTGGTAGTGTGCATTTAGCGCTACAGGTGTTCCTATCCGGTAAGCTGGCAAACTCATTAGGAATTTTTTAGGAGTTAAGCAAGTGGATAATTGGACTTGTGAAATGCTTCTTTAAACGGTAATACATGTGCAAAGTCAACTATGAGCTGTCAGAGGTAGTTTTCTGTGTTGAGCTTTAGTTAATGTACTAGCGTGTATTGACTAACAACTTGGAAATGGAGATCAGCTTCATGCTTTCTCTATGACCATCTCTAATATCCTTGTGATGGTAGCAGTATTTAGATCTAAATAGCATATTGTCATAACTTATAATTTCTCACTAGTTAGTTTTTATAGATATTTATCGTTTTTGCAGGACAACTTTCTTCTGCGACATTTCGTCACACAATAGAACTATGTACCTTATTTTCTACTATGGTCACACGAATGTCCTTATGTAGAGTAGTCACTGACTGGTTGGTGAAAACAAAGTTGCAGAAATACTTTGGCAGTGGGAGTTAATTAATCCCTGACAAGCGGAATTCACTACCAGGCTTCAGCTGCATACAGTTGTTTTAGACTTGCAATCAATAAGGGTGACAGTTCAAAGTTAAAAATTAAGAGGTAAATTCAGTGTGAACTTGTTG